ATATATATATATATATATATATATAAATAAACAGCCATTGTTCTACCGTTGCTGAAGGGAGGTGACCCCACCTAACTGAACAAATATCGACCAATCTCTTAACTCTGCATTGTAGCTAAGGTTCTGGAAAAACTGATAAACTCTCAAATCAAAAAATATTTTTTTACATCTTACCTCTCCATCAATCTGGTTTCAGGAGACAACACAGCACAATGACTGTGTCACTGAAGGTTTTTAATGATGTTGTTGAAGCAATAGATGCAAAGGATTATTGTGCTGCACTTTACTTAGACCTGTCTAAAGCTTTTGACACTGTGGATCATGACATCTTATGTCATAAGCTCTCAGAAATTGGATTCTCAGATCATACCATTGGTTGTTTCTCTAACTATCTTTCAGATCGGAGGCAATGTGTTCAACATAATGGTACTTCTTCCAGTTATTTAATGGTTAACAATGGTGTACCACAAGGCTCAGTCTTAGGACCCACCCTCTTCACAATCTACGTAGGTAATGTAGGTCAGATCATCCCTAATACATCCTTACATTTCTATGCTGACAATGCAGTTGTTTATTGTCGAGCTAAAACAGTTGCTAAGGTTTTCCAGCTTTTGCAATCTGCCTTTGACATCATCCAGTCAGATTTGTTCCATCTCAAACTTGTCCTAAATGTCGACAAAACCAAAGGGATGTTGTTTTCAAACAGGAAGTCAGTCCCAGCAGTTTTTCCTTCTATTTTATCTTCAAATGGTGTCCCTATTATCACAGTTTACACTCTTTTTTTCCTTTTACTCATCACTCTGTTCACTGTTTGACTTTTTCTTCTCTGCTCTCCTGGGTTTTTTCCTCTGCTGCTTGCTTCCAGCCACAGTTATCCAGCTTAATCTCCTTGTTCACAGCTCTTTAATCTTGATCCACGCATGTTTCCCTCGACCACGCTTTTTGCCTGTCCCTTTTGTGCCTCAGCTTTCTGACCTTGTTGACGACCTACGCCCGTTTTTGGATTTCGCCTTTGCCTCTCCGTATCGGTACTGTCTCCTCTTCGGATCCCATGTATGAACCCTGCTCATCCTCGACTACGCCTCTGGACTTCCCTTGGTCTCTGCAGCTCTGTATCTCTGCTGGAGCGCCCCGTTACAACAAGAAAGTTTAGTGTTTCACCAGACCGTCTGTATTCAGATAACTACTTGTTATTATGCCAAACACTAACCTTTCCCCTCTGTATCATTTTAGATACAGTTCCTGCCCCTGGACCTGAGACACCAGAAGCTGTTTATTTACTCAATAAACATTTTCAAAATCTTTCAGAGTTTGTGTGTAGGATCCTCTGCCATCAGATCTCTGACGCCTATTGAGTTTGTCGATTCCTACAAATATTTGGGTATCTTTGTCGATTTGCATGTCTCTTTTAAACTCAATGTGGAAAACTTGGCAAGGAAAGTTACAATAGGTTTATTTTTCAGAAACAGATCCTGTCTAACTCTGAATGCTAGGAAATGCCTTCCTCTATTGATTATGGTGACATTATTTACATGAACGCTCCTACAAGCACCCTGCAGATGTTGGATGCTGTCTATCACAGTGCGCTAAGATTCTTAACTGACTTTAACTACCGTACCCACCACTGCACCCTGTATTCACTGGTTAAATGGTCATCATTAACTTAATGCAGACTCTCTCACTGGTACATTTTCACTTTTAAATAACTTCTTGGTCTGTTGCCTTCACATATCTCCTCCTACTGCGTGAGTGCAGCTACAGCGTGTGCTCTCAGGACATTATTACCTGCAGTGTTCCCTCAGTGAGGACTGAACTAGGAAAAAGGGCCTTCTTCTACTCTGCTTTTGTTTCCTGGAATATCTTGCAAAAAGATCTGAAGCTCTCGACCTTGACCTCTCTAAGTGGCTTCAAACGTCTGCTAAGTTCGTGGCAAAAACCAGTGCAGACATGTTCCTGCTTTTAGTTTTCTACATCGCTTTACAATGTAGCTGTTTTTGTTTTGTTTTTTAACACCATTTTCTTTCATTTATTCTTCGCAATTTATATGCTTCTTTAATGATTGTCTACTCTTGTCTTTGTTGTCTACCGTTGTCATCACACTTTGTCAAAAACAGGTCTCTCTTGTAAATGAGTCCCTGAGGCTTAATGAGA